TAACTATCACGTGCTTTAAATTTTGGTTATTTGATTTTCTTCTTTTGCAGCATTTATGGAGCTTGTACATTCAAGCAATGGGACCACACAAAGGGGAACGGATTACGGTGCTCTGCAGGATACTAAAACGAAACACAAGACATCCTCTAGAAAGGAAGAAAAAAGAAATCTTTCTGTTGTTCCCTCTCATTTAGTTCAGACTGATGTTTCCAGCGTCAAGGAGGACACATTACTATTTTCAAATATGATGTTTTGTATCCTGTGAGGTTTTCTCGGAGTTACTTGCTTAATATCTGAGTCAATTCATTTACAAAATTGCTTGATCTTTCAATCTGCATTTTGCATCAGATAATAATACTAATAATGATATTTTTTTCTTCTGGTGTATGTATTATTTCCAACAGTCATACTTTCTGCATTTTGTACTTGTCTCCTTTTTCCATAAGGGGTTTGGGGTCGTGTATTAGCTGGATGAGAGATGACGTGCGTGTGTTTAATAACCTGAAGAAATTATTGTTTGACATCTTTCCTCAAGGTGTTCACTGTAGATAATCCCTGCAAATACAAATTGAATACAAGAAAAAGGCAATACTATAAGGATGCATTTGGAACCAACAAAATTGGATATTTTGAGCATACTAGTGACCATATAATTGCATCTATTTATTCTACTTTACCATGTTGTCCTTGACACGTCCAGACTTTGTTAATGTGCCTCCCACTAATTCTCTTGATTCCTTGCACAAAGTTGTTGTTGAGAATGGGGGTACTTTCTCTATGAATTTGAATAATGCAGTTACACACTGTGTTGCAGCTGATAGCAAAGGTCTCTCTCTCTCTCTCTCTCTCTCTCTCTCTCTCTCTCTCTCTCTCTCTCTCTCTCTCTTTCTCTCTTTTTTTTTATGTAACTCAGTTACACACACACACACAAACAATTTCGATTGGCTGTAATAATAATCTTATTTGACAGGGATTAAATATCAGGCAGCAAAGCGTCATGGAGATATAATTCATTTCTCTTGGGTGTTGGATTGTTGTTCTCAAAAGAGACTTCTTGCCTTACAGCCAAAGTTAGTGACACTATCTAATCTATTCGTATTGAAAAGACATTGTAAAATGAGACTCCTTTTTTTTTTTTTTGTACAATGCTTCAAATATTTTTCTCGTGAAGGTACTATCTCTTCATATCTGAATCTTCAAAAAAGAAGTTACAAGAAGAAATTGATGAATTTTCTGACTCGTACTACTGGGATCTTGACCTTGCAGACATCAAGCAGGTAAATGTACATAGAATTCTTAGTTGCTCTTCAAACGGTGAATTTGCTCTATTATATATTGAAGCATATAAGAACGGAAAAGAAGCAAGTTTTAAGTACTATGTTTACCAGTGAACTATTTAATACTGGTTCTATTGGAGGTAACACAGAGAACTTTTGATAGGCAATGAGGTAATTTGCTTATTTCATTCTTTTCAGCTTTTAAGCAACATGTATAGATCTGCGGATTCCAAAACTATCAACCATTACAAGAAAAAATACTGTCCAATGGAGAAATGGTCTCGCTTTCATGGCTGCTGCATTTACTTTAACCCATCAACTCATTCCTTGTAAGATCTGTTGGCTATATTAGGCTTTCTCAGGACACGGATTATATTAGGCTTTCTTTGTTTTTCACATTCTAAATTTATTATTTATGGATTTCTGATTAACCTTTGCTTAAAGGAAACCGGATTGGGAAGTCCTTTTACGATTCACACTCAGAAGGTTGAAGATTCAAGTTCTCATAAGTGGTGGCAGAGTCACTGACAGTATTGCTCATGCGACTCATTTGGTAGTCTTGTCAGTGCAGGGTCTTGATGTCGATTTTGAAACTTTATTGCAAAGGTAACCTATAGTTCATAATGTTGCGAGTTACATGAATAATTATTCCCAGTCTCTAATGGAGGATAAGTGCTTGCATCTCCTGATCAATAAGATATGTGGAATCATTATTGACGATTAAATCATCACATGATTATTTTGATTTTTTGTCAAATATCTGACCAAACGTTCATTATGCTTTCCATTGAAGTTGGCAGAGGTGCATTTTCTGGCATGAATTGATTGACAAGATGTTGGTGAGATAGTTGATTATTCAGGATAATTTAAGTATGTTTGTGTAGTACGATTTGTCTACAACAAATTGAGGGTGCCATTTTTTTCTCAACACAGCCATATGCATGGTTTTTATAATAGGCAATGTAACAGTTCAATTATAATTATCAAGTATCATGTTTTGTTTTTATAACAAAACTATCAAATATGATGCTTAATGGCGCGTGCATTCTGAAATTATCAAGTATCATGTTAAGAAACAGAAAAGAGGACAATTTTAATTTCATCTTTCAATCTATGGATGAATTACTGCATTTAAAAAAGTTGCTACGATAAGGCTTTATTCACCTGATTTAGAATGACCATTATAGGAGCATGATTTGTTTGCTCTGTTCTATCCCCCAGTTCTTGGATATTTTTTTCTTACACTACAACAGAAATAGCTTTGCCCACTGTCTGACCCCTTTCCTCATTACAGCTGTTATCAACATCAATACAGTCCATGACCTTTTCTCCTTTATCTTTTCTCACTGCTCTCTCCGTTACAGTTTCACTGAATCAGAGAAACGATTTCTGCATAACAAAAAGTTGCATATTGTTGGATCTCAATGGTTGGAAGACTGCTTGGAAAGGGACCAGAGACTGCAAGAAGAAACATATAGCTTAAAACCCAATGGGTTGGAAGAATGCAGCATTGAAGAGTGGTGAGTTCAGTTATTATAATATTGCACTTGGATGTGGTATTCCTCTGAGTTATAATACGCATTTAAAATCAAATCAGTTTATTTGGGTTATGATACAAAATTAGGTATAATAGTAATCACTCATAATTCAATTACAGATTTACGACATGGAAGCCAACGGTCCCTGATGGGATCACCTGTCACTTAAAACCTGTTTTTTAGCAAAAATAAATTCTTAAAATCCAGTTTTTGAAACCCCCATCTTATTCTTTGTCAAGACCATCAAAATTCTTTCTTAAGTCCTTGAACACGGGTGACTGATATTGGACTATTATCTTGAGGTATTTATGAGATTTACCTTTGCTCATTAGTGGACGTTGCCAAGGGAAGAACCATAAATTTTAACAGGGGTGGGCTAGTATTTTCAGTTGGTGATTTCTATCTTGAGAGCTGCTGGGTTGAGAACTTGAGTGGGAGAATGCAGGCTTTAGATATGGGATGGCTTAATTTCTTCTTTGAAGGGTGGGTTAATTTCTTCTGGGTTGGAGTGGACATGCTATATATTCATTTTCATTTTTACACTGGGCTAGCCCACCCAAGCCAATGCTTGCTTCTGCCCCCGGCGTAACGTCCTTTTGTACTGGATGTTACCTGTTCATTATGTAGTGTCTCCATCGTAATCCTTAGAAAATAAAATAGAAAGAATGATTGCTAAAAGCTAGCTGTTTCATCTTTTATTTTTGTTCTTAATTTTGTTTTTCCACTGAATGATGGAGGCGCTATACTGGGCTAGATAGTCATTCTTGGAAATAAACTACTAAGAGAAAGTAAACTAATACAGGAATGGATTCATGGCACAAAGAAATGGTAGACTGTCTAAAATGACATGTGTAGAAAACTTCATACAAAGGGGAGTTCTGTTTTTTATTGTTTATTCGGTTCATATCATAAACATTGCAAGGGGAAGAAGTTCTACGGGGAAGGTATTGTACATCTCTGATGGGTGAAGTGCAGACTTGCTAGGGGTGTGCGTGTGTGGGGTTCCCTTTAATATCAATTATGATAACAGAGTACGTAGGAGGGATTCAGGGTGGTTAACATTTTTGTTCTGCTCCTGTTATGTCTAGGAAACATGACATGGATCTAGAAGAAGCACCCTCTGTTGTGGACACTCTGCAAATCAACAATTCTTCTTCTTCTCCTAACCAAGAAGGAAAAGAGATAGGAGGCAAAGAAGCTCCAGAAAACTATAGGATCTTGGCCTCACCTGAGAGGGAAAGCAAAAGGAAAAGAGGAAGACCTGCTCTCACAAGCATGAACAAAGGAAAAACTGGTGTCAACCAAGCTCGGAGAACACGGGTGCGCATTGGAAGGAAGCCTGCTAAAATATCAGGAAATGAGTCAGATGAAGGTGGCTCTCATGATAACACATTACTTGTGGAAGAGGTTGATAAGGAAGAAAGGAAACATGGAATGATGAGTGACGCAAGTTTAGACATCCAAGAAAATGAAGCAATTAGAGATTCTGAATCATTACAAAGAGACAATGCAGCTGTGCAGGAGGTTGCTGAAGACATTAGGTTTGAGGACCATTCTTATCAAATTCCTGATGTCAAAATGATTGAGAAGTGTAATATCGAAGACAGTGGAAAGCCGGAGAAACTTGAAGTTATGGCTGATCCTGTTCAAGCCATGTTGTTTGACATGATTCCAAGTCTTGCTATGAAGAAAGTTGAAACTACAAATACGAGTATTGAAAAGGAAAAACCAGCAGTAGATCTGAATGCAGGACCTTCAAAGAAAAAGAAAGTTAGCTACAAGGATGTTGCTGGTGAGCTGCTCAAGGATTGGTAAATTGTTTTCTGCATCGGTTTACTGTCTGTTCTGTCTATATGTTACGGTCAAGGATTGTGGATTAGTTGGGCTTTTTAATGTCTTCTTGTCTTGTACCTAAATTATATGTCAATACAAACTGAGACACTTGCCTTTTTCTAGATTCATTTCTCATCAATTGTGGGCATTGTCGCTTTTTGGGTCACAAAAGGCACGGATGATGGATGCGTGTCATCTAATTATGCCGTTTGACTTGAATTTCCATTATGATTTACTGTCTCCATGGCTTTGGTTTCCTTTCCGTCCTCCTCCCCCGACCCACCACAAGGATGCAAATTCACATAATCTTTCATTTATAACGTTTACACATTATGACAGCATAGAATGCAGCTCCAAGAAATTGGTCTTCCCATTATTGAAGAAATAGGATTAGCTAGCAGAAGCCTAGGATTCAATAGCTTCCCACGAAACAAATCCAAATATCAAAGTTATACAAAATTTGAAAGGAAAACATGATTATACTCTGATGATGGATACAAATCTTTTGAAAGAACAGAACTTTGAGCCAGCACTACGAAGAGAAATTTTCCCCTTTTTGATGTCACTATTTTGAAATACAGTTTCAGTGTACAACATATAAAGAATTATCACAGGATCACCATCCATACTTGGCTTGTGTTTCAGCTTTTGTGAGGAAGCCTTTTGAACGTCGCTCTGCAAGTTCCATCTCCTTCTGCCTCATATCAAAGTATAGAGAACCAATCTGATGCTTCCTCTTATGCAGCTTTGTAGGCTTCCCTTTAGTTGAAACAGGCTGAATGGAACAAACACAAATAAATATGCCAATGCATAAAGTAAAACAAATTAGTGTGTGTGTGTATATATATATATATATATATAAACATATATACATAATCCACAAAAATAGTAAAGCAGTCTAGTCATTGCCGAAGATGAACAAAACGAATAGTGATTCAGACTTCCTTTCTTTAGAAATGGAACTTGCAATAATGTCTGATTGAAAAGTAGACTGAAGCACTTTCTAAGATTCAAACAATATCAAGTACTACGTAACATGCACAAGATGTACTAGGTGCTCAATCAGGCAGAACTAAGCAACAAATAAGCAAAACAGAAAAAGGGAAAAAAAACATTGAACCAAGGAAAATTACAGAACAACCAAAAAGCTAGTAACATATATAATTATATCTTTATTTTTTGAAAAAATAGATATATAAAATTCTCTATGCAAACAGCCTCAACAATATTTTCATCTCAACACGATCCCATCTTCTGACACCATAATCTCATTGCTTCCAATCTCGGGGAATCATGAGATACATAGAACTTCATTAAAATGATATATCAACTCCTCATGATGTTTGCAAGCACATTCATTAGGGCGGAGGTTAAGGATTTTTAAGATCTTAGCAAAGAGTATGACCAAAAAATTTCTCTAGGGTGGATTTTGATAATTCAAAGTCAAGTTAGGAAAGGGTCCTCCTCAGTGCTTGCCAAGTTCCAATGCAGTTATAGAAGAATTAAAATTAAAACCCAAGTCCACCTATGGACCCAAGTTCTGCAATGCACTACTTTAGACCCCAAACATGCTCTATCAGTTTGTTAGCAGATATCAAAACAATACAGCTCTAAGCCAGAATAATTCAACAAAGCAAGTTCCACAGTCCTGCAAGTTCTTCATTCTAAGGAAAACACTCTAGCATTGTTACCAGAGGCACCTTTTTCTTGTCCAATTCATGAGAAGCACCATCTTCTGAGATTTCCCATGTGTAAAGGTTCTGAATATTAATTTAAGCCATGCTTTGGAAGGCTGCCTCGGTCTTTTTCCTTTCTGAATAATTTACACATTTTGGGCTAACATCAGTCTTGTATTTGACCATTATCCTGTATGATTCTTGAGTGACATGTTTTCCTCTCTTAGTTTTTCCTTTCAATTGATAAAAATCCTTCTCACTTGAGAGTGAGAAGATGGGGAGAAAAAACAAGATTTTTTCTCCATTCAATACCAGTTAAACACATATGTCTTGCCAAAATCAAGTTAACAGTAACATGACCTGTTTATTACATGTGTTATAAGGTCATGTCACTTTTGGCTACGTGTTGTAATTATCAATTCTAACCTGCTAATTTTCTACTGCATTCATGTCATGTTACCTAGTATTCAAAATTATCACCCCATTCCAAACATCTCCATTATGAAAATGGATTAGATTACATAAACCCAAGGTAGCAAGCTAATCCTATGAGAGTAATATATCTCAATGGAAATTGACAGTTCACAGTTCCCACATCCCATTTCATAGACTTTGTTCAACTGATATGACTTAGTGATCGTATTGCTTTTGCTAAAGTAAATGCAAAGGTCATTAAACTACCAGGTTATGTTGTCCAAGAGTAATGCACGAAAAGTTTGATATACACAAAAGATAACTTGTATATAAAGTGGAACTTTAGTCTTTTTCATCAAGAACGGTTCTCAAAAGAAAAAAGACAGTTTCTTATGACTCTTATCATCTTCTTTAATGGAAAGAATTTAATGAACCGTTTCACAGATATCAAATTCTTCCTAGAAAACTATCAATAACATAAAGCTAAAGTAAAAGATATATCTCACTCAGGTTCATAACACTGGACTAACTGCTAATAATTTCAGTACGCATTAAAATGTAGCAAAACAATGTCTTGAGTTCTGAACGTTATAAATGAATAAAAGGATGCAGACCAGTTAATGAAAAAAATCAAAATTCATAATCACTATAACACCAAATGATCAAAAACAGCAAGAAACTATAAGTGGTGATACCTGATAAGAAGGCCCAAAAGCTATTCCGGTTGACTTGGCCTGGTCTTCCCTTGGCCGATTCTTCATCAACTCGTCCTGCTTAACCTCAACTATTTCAGTTGGCACCTCATTCCTCCCTCTCTTTTTACTCACTTTAATCCCACTTACATCTGTTCCTGGAATCGCCAGCGCTGCAGTTTCAGACCCACCAACCCAATCATTCCCATACTGCCCATAACCACTATAACCAGCATTACTCCCATAAACATCATAACTACCATAATTTGAAGCATCACTACCGCTAATTCCTGCCTGTAATTGAACCCCAACATCCACATTTTGATCAATGCCAGATTGGTAACTCTCATAACCACCATAGCTTTCGTAGTTAACTGCATTTTGATCAATACCAGATTGGTAAGTCTCATAACCTCCATAACTTTCATAGTTAACTGCATTCTGATCAATACTTGATTGGTGATTAGCAACATTTTGATCCACCCCTGCATCGCTCTTCACTTTAGAACCAACTGATTCCGTTTCAAGAATGGCTCTTCGGCCCGAACCCAAACCCGAACTCGCACCCAATGTGGCGGAGTACCTAGGCGCTGGAAGAGAAAATATGAACTTCCCGGACGATGTTTGAGAGGAGGATTCAGACGCCTTTCGCCTTCGCCTTTCTTCTTCTTCATCATCATCGTCATCTTCGTCGTCCAATTGGGACGACTTCATCGAATAGGAGCTAATGGGAGGCTTGAATTGGACGACCCTTTTAGGGTTTCGGTCTGAGGATGAGATATTGGTAATGGGTTGATTTGGGATTTGGGATTTGGGCGGAGGAAGCGTAGAGAACAAGGGTTTGGAGGTGGGTTTTGAATCTTGGTCTTCATCATCGTCGTCATCATCATGACGAAGATTTGATGGTTTAGTTTGGGTTTGTTTCGGTTGGGGAAGGGACTGGAAAAGAGAGGAAGTTTGGGGTTTGGGTTTGGGTAGAGAAGAAAAGAGAGAGGAAGAGGAAGAAGGTTCAGAGCTGGGTTTTGAGGGCAAAGCTGCGGGTTTGGGAGGCCGTTGTTGATCTTCTTCTTCGTCAGAAGAGGCGTAGTTAGCGAGCAGAGAGTCCATGAGAGAGCGAGAAGAGAGAAGATGAAAGAGAAGAGAAAAGCTCTGAAATTTTTGGAGTTAAAGAATTTTACGAACAGAATAGGGGATGCTCTGAAATTTTGAGGTTTAAAAACAAAATTATCCGGCTTTAGCACCAACTCTCATAATTCATATGGACTTTTTATTATCAATAGTCCTTCAACTTTTTAAAAGTTCTCATTTTGGTCCATAAATTAGTTTGGTCTTTCTTTTCTTTTTTTGTGAACAAGGGGGGAAAAACCCCAAAGACAAACTACTCAGAAGAATGGTTTAAAAATTAGTTTCGTCTTTGTTGTCTCATAAACCCTAGCAGTGTGTTTGGATGAGGAAATTTAAAAGTACAAATGATTTCTCAAATGACGGAATTTAAATTGACAGAAATTAATGTTCTAGAATTTGTAAAGTTTCTTATTTTGGTGACAAATTTAAAACACGGAATTTAACATTTATTTGTAAAGTTATCTTTTTTTAAAACTCAATCTCTCTTGGGATTTTAGAAATGATGACTTTTAGATAGAATTTAAAGTTTGGATTTATGATCTCCAAATTACATGTTTTTTTCCACGCGGAATTTCTAAATTTCTATGTTTATGTATCCAAACACGGGAATTGGTTCATGTCAATTTAGAAATTCTGAATTTTGTCAAAATTCCAAGTTTATTTCCCTCATCCAAATGCATTGTAAAATTTTCGTTGACGCATAAAGCTATCATCTTTTGCTCAACAAGGCTAGGTGCTATGAAATTTTTGAATATCAGCTTTGCAACTATCTCCCACTTGTTGCACTAACTGAAAAAAAAAAAAATTATGTGTGAAATTCGGAACTCTTTAAATTTAGTAGAACATATATAGAAGCTTGAAAGAATCATTATAGTGGATGTGTTGAGCTGTGAAGATACCATTCAACTAGGAAAATGAGTTGGATCCTTTTTCGGTTTCCTTCTTGGTTTTAGTTTCCTATTTCAATTCATACTTGGTTTACAATTCCTATTTCAATCTTATTTTCTACCCATGTAACCCTAGATCTTATGCACTACCTTTAGGAAGCCATAATTTTGGGTGTGTGTATGTGGTTAAGAACCAAATTACGAGTGAGTGTGAGGAAAACACTTGAGTGCTTGTAATTGTTTTTCTCTTCTACTTCTATAATGAATCTTTAGGTCTTATGCACTACCTTTAGGAAGCCATAATGATCGGAAATAGCAAAATAGTTCTATCTCCATTTCACATAAGTGTTTCTCGATATATAGGGGCAAACTTTAAACATTTTGTGCCTCTGGGTTGTTGTCATGCCGACTCCCATTATTTTAGGACATGTCTTAAGTTTTTGGAGGTCCAGGACGAGAGACTACAAAGAAGTCCTTTTGTATATTCATCATTTCCACATGAAAAAAAGGACAAATTTTTATAAATTGGTTTTGGAGTGGAACCTCAATTTTCTTCATGATATCAGAGCTAGTTTGCCCACTTATGAAAGCCCAAAGACCACACATGCTTCACCTCACCAATATGTGTTGTCTATGTGATAAACTTGAAAATTCATTGTACGTGCAGGGGCGTGTGAGAATGTGAAAGTGAAAAATGTCCCACATTGAAAAGTTGAGAAACCTAACGACTTATAATGAGTTGGGCTACTTCCCTTGACGAATTGATTTTGAGATAGAACCTCAACTTCCTTCAATTTTTTTTTCCTTAAACATGGTACTTTAATTCAAAATTAAAGAGAAATACTAGAGATACCACATTTGTATTCATACCCTAGATAATAATCCTCAATTTTGCTTTATTACATCAACTTTCTTGCTTTCTCCTAGTCCCAGCCCATGGAAAAAATGGATTGGACCTAAATCAGACCCAAAGTGTTAGCTGAACTGATTGTGCGGGGCTTGCTTGTGGATTCAACCCAAGACTTTTGAGTGTTGCAGGTTGTGGGCTTGTATTTGTGCTTTTTATTTTTCTTATTTTTTTGTTTTTGTTTTTTTGTTTTTCTATTTGATGTTTTTGGGCCTCCACTCCCATTTATGATTGGTTAAATAGTCTTACACAACCAATTATTCAATTCAAAGACATGTTTGTTACAGCATGATCATGCAATTATTTAACACTGGCTTTGAACCAAAAAAAAAAAAACAATGTTAATTTTCTCAGAAGCTAAACCAAGACCAAAGGCCGGACTTTCATCAAGGAAAAAAAAAAAACCCAATAAAGAGAGAAGACATTTATGTAAGAAGAAGAAGAAGAAGAAGATGGAGATGGTGACAAGCAACAACAACACTAACAGCAGTGATGTGAAAAATGTAACTTGATTCATGGATCAGTTTGTTGTCATAATTATATGCTCATGGGGCTTTGTGGATCATTCAAAGCTGCAATGGCTGTTTCAATTTTAATCTTCAAATGATCTTTTTCTTCTTCATCTGCCTGCAAAATAAAAAATAAAAAAAATTAACAAGTTAATTAAAATTGATTAAAGCTCTATGAAGACAAAATTAATGACATGTAACGCATCTTAGGTGCCCCCGATGATTTTTTTTTTGATAAAAAGGCGATAGAATTTTATTATATGATGATAATGTAGGTGATGAAAGAATAATTTCATGTGTGGACAAAACTTAACATCTTTAAAACACGACTCATTGAAATAATGATCGTGATGGCGTCATCACAAACATAAAAGTATTTAAAGCGTGGCTTGATTATTTTCGTCATTTGCAACGTCCACAAGTTGAATATGTATATATATATGAACAAAGACAAGGGGAAAAAGACATAATATTCAAACAAATTTGAGAGAAAATAAATAAAAAGTAAGAGAGGAGATGGTGTGGACACAGCATCATAGTTTTTGTTGTACCAAAATCCATTCAAAAACTTTACATAAAAAAAATGTAAAAGGAACATTAGGAGCATGAATGTGCGGTGCAGATGTAACCATCATACTTTTAAGGTGTGTCTTGCTTTTGCCCCGGAGAAAATAACAAAAACAAGGCCAGAAAAATAAACTGCAACAATAATTCATATCACACAAGATACTTGGGACCATTAGTAATGTGTTGGCTGAATATTCAAGGATTGGGAAACCTTATCCACCCATCACATAACCAGAGGGAAAGCTTTCAACACAAAGTATACTTATCAGATTTTAATCAACATATGATTTTGACACCATCTATCCCTTTTCCTCTTTCCTACTTTGGGGGCTAACCTACTAAGCTGGACATTCAATATTTTTGGAAACGAGACTTGTATACATGACGTTGATATGACCGCACCTTAAATTTTTTATACTTATTTTCATATGTTTCGTATGAACGATTTTCGATCCATGATTAAAGTCAACTCCTCGTAAATTAACGATTGAAAATCAACTGTATGTTCCAACCCTATCATATACTTAAAGTCTTTTGTGCCTAATATCATGTCACAAATGTAAACCAAGAGGAACTTAACAAGTAACCCATCTAAAGCAAAATTGGTAGTTGTAATGAAAGCCAAAAATAAAAACTAGTACCAAAAATTCAAAGTGGAGCATCATTATTATATGTTAAAATAAATTCCCCACAAGGTCTCCAAATTTGTCCAACCATCCAATTTTTGTTTGGTTGCTGGTATCTTCTACGAAACTTCACCCATATGGGAAACATGTTTCTTTGTAACTATTGACCAGAGCTTATCCACTGACCATTGACCATTGACATCACACTTCAACAACAATTTCAAGTACGAGATTTCCTTTTTTGTTGGCTTTGGGAATAATTGATGTATTCAACTTCCATGATCAAACATAAAAGTTTTAAAAAAACATCTTATTGAAAAAAACAAAAATAATTTCACGGACCTTCATCTCACAATATATATATATATATATATATATATATATAACTCTATGCCTTAAGTTTTTCGGTCTCACGGACGTACAAGAAAACTCAGTTCGATCTCCAAATTTCTATATCTAATAAAAAAAGTGCGTTATGAGATTTTTTATATAGATTTTGCTAGGAACAGTCGCCCAAACAATGTGCTCATTTTCTTAATTACCAAAATAAAAGGCGATTGACGAGGAGGAGATGAGAGCAAGAGAGGTGATGAAAATGAAGTTGGAGCAAAAAAGGGAAAATGTTAAAGAGAAAATCCAATCCAAATGGGGTCGTTTCCTCACTTTTGCTCATCGACTGGTATTATTCGAACACTGTGGATTACACCAAACAATCATTTGCCCTTACTAGCCCGTATCATGTAATGGATCATCCACTTTAGTAAAAGTGCTCTCCATTGGTTTCCAATTCTTGTGGACCCTCAAATTCTACGTCTTTATTATTATTATTTGTCATTATTTTACTCAACTAATTACTCTTGTTAGTTTGATTAAATAAAAGTTTTGTCCTTCATTTAGGTCAAACAAAACTTAGTTTCCTTCTTTTTTTGAAGTTCAAATTTGTTTACGGGTAATACTTATGAGATTTTTTCTATTTTTATACGTTTTCTGACAGTTAATGTGTACTTATTAAACATTATATAATATGGTCAAACCCAAATACTTAAGATCTGAAATCGAAACCTACTACACACATAAACCCTTGATTTTTACCCAAACTCCTTTTACTTTATATATTTCAAACATTTCAGAAATTAAATTTAGTCGCTATCATATAGAAAGGAAGGCCCTTTGTTCTCATTTCCCTTCCTCAATTCTTGCGAGCACCCTTTTTGGGACCGTACCAAATCACATGTATTTGGTATGGTGCCTAGGGCGCATATAGAATTAAACCACGCGACATTGCCCCAAAGTTCCATTTTCATGTGCCAACCAAGAACCCCACAACACTAAAAATATTAAACTAAATAAAGAAAAAACTCACCCCCCAAAAAAAAGTTTAATTAAGTAATAAGTAATTAAGCAAAGTGAGTTTAATTACCTCAATGAAGACTGTCTTCAAGACTCTCCCAGAGAAAGCAGTAATATTTGCTGTAATGATTTTGAGCTTCAAAGATTCGAAGACCTCACACAATTTTACCATTGTGTCCGTTCTTTTGCTGCATGTCAAGCTAGCCACCACTGTCTTTTCCCCCATGTATGTAACCCTAAGCTGTAAAGTGTAATATTAATTAATTAATTAATCAATGGATTACATATAATATTACATTATTATATAGTTTTCAAAAAGAATAGTGCTATTCACACCCCCCTCAAATTGTATTATACACTCTTCTAGAAAGTGCAGATGACGTTGTCATATGACAGTATACTTGCAGTGCTCCTTTGATATAAGTGCATGAAGCTTTCCGGAGAAAAAACTTGTGTGAAACGGGAATGATATTGTTTTACTATTCACACTCAATTACGGTATGTAAAGTGAAAAATTTATCATGACATACTGTGATTGAACCGGAATAGCGAAATAATGCTATCCCCGTTCTACATAAATGTTTCTCAGATGGGAATACATTTAATTGATCAAGATTTAACAGAGAAGGATTGACTTACTTCAAGCACTTCAATGGTGGAAGTTCTTGATCCTCCGGAATCATAGAGCTGCTCAATTTTCTTCTTCTTTGACCTCAACAAGACTGGTAGCTCTTGATCAAATTCAGAACCCAGATTTTTCTTTGATCTCCCAGATTCTAGCTCCCCTATCTCTGTCTGAATTCTTCTTTCTTGTTCATGAAGCTCCTGGATGTAGTCAATGGCGTCTTTGATTATAGAAGCCTTATCCATCTGTACCCCAAACCCAACAAACCAACCAAATTATTTAAAAAAATCCCAAATCATCATGAACAATTTTTTTTCTTCTTCTTGAAAATAAAAATAAAATAAAATAAAACAATGGGTCATATATTAATATTTGATAATATATATATATATATATTATAATGGCAAGCAAACAAGCAAGCAATAATTAAGGAAATAATATTGTATGGCCAAAACCTTGCTTATTTTGGGGACCACTGCTCTAAGAGCAAAGAGCCTTTCGTTGAGCTTCTTCCTCCTGTTCCTTTCAGACACAATGTTTTTGGAGGCCATGGAAGAAGCTCCTCCATCTGGTGAGCTGGAATCATAGTACCCAGAAAAAGCCTCATCCAATCCCCAGCTGCCATGACAAAAATTGGAGTTAAAAACAGCAGATATATATATATATATAAATTATGAAAGCTTATTAGAACATTAAGATAAATTAAGCTCCATAATTAATAATATATAAACCTGTCAAGCTCTTCAGTTTGGAGGAACATATTGGTTTCCCAGTAATGTTTGTACTCATCACCAATGTTGTCCATGGCTGCTCAGAGAGTCCGATGAGAGAGAGAGAGAGAGAGAGAGATGGGATTTTTTTAGTCACAGTGGGTGGGGAGGGGAGAGGGAGTGAGTTGAGGGGATTTTTATAAGTGGAGAAAAAATCTGAATTCATACACGTGGGAAGAGGGAAGCAGGGATGCTTCTTCCTGGAATCATGTGAACCGTCGATTGACTGGATGAATATTGAAAACGTTGGTCTACAAGGCCGCGTAGGACACACTATAAAAAACTTGAACTGCCTTCTCTTTTAGCAACGACAACAACCAAAACAATAAATACATACTAAATAATAATAAATAAACAAATGACTGTGCTGGCTACCTTTACTCTCTCTATCCATTACACAAGGCGCGTGCCTTCAATCTCCCTAATAATTGGGGTCCTTACAAATTTTTGTTCTTCGGGTGTGGTACGGAAGAAAGTGCTCCACGCGCCCGTCACATGAGTGGCTCTTATAAACTTTGTGTGGACCATCACCCAAGAAAAACAAAAGGAAAATATATATTGATATATTACTTGGGTCTACACAAACCGAGATTTAAGTTTTTCTCTATATTTAAAGACAAAGGCTTAGTTCAATGAAACATTGGTTTGCATACCAGTGGTCTCATATTTAAATTTTCATAACAGCTTAATAGTGTGTGTGAAACTCCTCCTCTCCTTATAGTTAAGATTATCTCTCGTATTAGAAAAAAAGAAAAAGAAAAGGCATGAATCATGTACTTAAAAAAATGAAAGAGAAAAAAAAGGTATATTAGCCTACCGTTTAGTATGACTTCCACTCAATTCGAGTTAACCAGTTTGATTTCACTTATACTTTAAATGCGAGATTTTTTAAATAAAAAAAATACAAATGATAGTCTAAACTAAAAAAGGAAGGGGAGTTTTTCAAAATGTCATGGGGTTCAAACTTGAGATGATCGATTAACAAGTGAAGGCCTTTTTGCATTGGACCAGATCTCATTGACTTTAAATGCGATAATTTATTGAAACAACTGGATTCAATTTAGACTTGAATACGAGCGATGATTGAGACAAAACTCAATTTAGACTTGGAATACTAGGTGAACATTGAGACAAAACTCAATTTGAATCCAAATATGAACAAACTCCATTTGACTTAGACTTTAATGTAAGTCAATTCATTCCAACCCTAAGGTAAAGTTAGGTCCAATTTTTATTTAATTCTAATTTATTTTTTTCTCTTTCTAGGTAAATTTTTTGTCTAGTTTCTTTTTCGTTTATTAAACAAGGGTAAATTTTTAGTTTATGTGTCATGAATTTAATGGTTGTTAACGAGGGTCAATAGGCATGAAAGCACATTTTTGCCCATGCAAATGAGACCCTTCAAATTTTTTATGAAATTGAGATGAAAATTTTCTAACTTCATTAAGACTCCGCCCTCCATTCCAGGCATCATCTCGGGATCCTTCGCCCTTGGTCCCATTTGGTTAACAGAACGAATTTGAGGGGAAATCATTTCCCATGTCATTTCCCAAGGAATGAGAAATAAAATATTCATTTTCCATGTTTGGTAATGTTGGGAAAGTAACCGAGAGATATCACTTTATTTCCTTTCCCATGTTTGTTTTGAGAAGGAATGGAAAACAAAGTTTGTATAAATTTGCAATTATACTCATATTAAATCAAATAAAAAAAGAATGCATTTAATGATATATTGTAATTCTAAATTGTTAATAGGGACAAAATGGTCATGAAAAATGTTTATTTAATATTGGCTCATTTTCCCAAACTTTCCCATGATGAGGGAAAACAAAACCCAAGTTGTGAGAATGGCTTCACTTTCCCCCATACCTTCCCATAAGGCAACGATTTCCCATGCCTGGTGTCACGGGTCGCACATAGACAAGTGCTACCGTGACTCTGTTGGAACATCTATGCGCTTAAGAGGAAGTCTAAGTGTGGAAAAGGTTAGAGCTTAAGAGCTAGAATGGTTGATGTTGGCCGGGTTGCACTTGTGAAGGGTATTTTGGGTATTTCTGAAGGTTACGGGAGGACCCTGAAGAAGCTAAGAATACTGGGACGTTCGTAATATTGAGACGCAGGAAACGCAACTGACGGTTCGCCATTCGGAGTTCGTATGAGGGAGTTATGCCCAATTATGACTCCTCGTGCATAGGTGATGTTCCCTCCTGGCAGAAGGCTAAATGCATAAAATGCTATATAGGGGGTGACATGGTGTCATGCTCTCCACCACCCCTGGTGCTTACACCCTTATGGCACTAAGCGAGCATCCTTATGACATTGGAGATAGTCATAAGGGCGGGCATACGATTGTTGAAGGATAAT